GTCTCAGTAAATGCCCAAACCCTACAGAACTGGTGCCTTCAGAGAGCCACTATGATTACATATTTGGCGTCCCTGAACCGGTTTTCCCTACAACAGTCTTTCCAAAAAGGGTTTTATGGAGAGGGAGTACAACATTCCAGAAAAAGAGCACCCTTGTCGAATACCCTTATGAATGGGAAATGAGGTCACCATTGACTTTAAGTACACTGAACATGTTACTGTAGAGCAGCTGAATTTTAACCAAAAAATCTTAGAGGTGGCAATAAGATCTCTTATAACATGGTCTCTTTTGATGGAGAATAAGTCTGAATGGGATGAACTATGGACCCTAAAACAGTCTTTAGCTAGTTATCCTAAACCTTGGACATGATCTTATAGTCTGAACAAAGGGTGCTTTCATGGCACCAACTCTTAGTATTACATACTGTAAGCGTTCTTTTTTACCAATAGGGGGAGCTCTGCACTTTGATAGCGCAGAGAGTTCATTATTCCGTACACTTTCTTTGAACACTTTGAAAAAGTCTATCCCCATGTAGACTATGTCTACAATGTAGACTAAAAATCCACTGGAGACCTTTTTGTCGAGCAGAGGAGGAGTTTATTGTATATTCGGCCGAAGAGGAGCACCCTTCTTGCAATTAAGAGGATAGTTCTAACAAGAAAAGTTACAGCTGACTTTTTATACCCTTAGGTGATAAGGAAGACAAAGTCTCAAAAAGGAAAACTTCAATCAAATTACATTTCTATTGGTTAAGCAAACTTCTAAGACAATCATAAGATGTCTATGTAACTGAGCTGTATCAGTGTTTTCTAAAAGCTGGTACAGTAGTTGCAGTTGGCCTTCTACACAAAAACAATTCTTTGGGATTCTTAAAACAAGAGGTCTTTGTGTCTTTAGGGCCCTAGTCTTATCAACAGGAGATTGTATCTGAATACATCAACAACATTTAATGTTGCAGCTGGTGTTTTGCTGAACATGATGTATAGAGAGAGAATTTAACCCTTGTTAACATCATTCGAAATCATACACGGCTTCTCCTGAATGAAACAACATGTTTCGGTTCAGGAGATTTAGAGACTACTGAGCACTCTCACTAACAGTCCGTTCCACAGGAAGGACGGGATGTTCTTTGATGGCGATCAAAACCCCATCAGCTACAACTCCATTTTGTACTAATTTATGTACAGCACTAGATCTTCTTAGATTAAAAACGCTACAAGAGATTTATTCATTCTGGAAACAGACCATACAACATGTTACTATAGCCCACCACCTTCCCTACCTCAACAGCACATTTTTCAACTGAGACAAGTGCGTCAACCTGAATCTTAGCCCCATGTCTCCTTGGCATATTCTCAAAGCTGATGCCATTAAAAGTATTTGAAATGTAACACAAATACTGATAACAGAAATATAGGAGAAAGTAGTGAAAAAGAAAAACAAATATTAAACAAACTGAACTTCAGAATATCTCCTTAATGCCAGACTACTAAAATACATCCTCTCTCTTGCCACCTGATGTCAAATCTGGGTGAGCCAGATCCTGCAGCCCTGGGTTTTCTTGGAAACCCAAGAAATCCTCTGTTTGGATTTCCAAGCCCCTTCAACCAATTAACAGGTGCTCAATCTATTAAGACCATCCTGTTTAGACCCCGCTATGCCATTGTTATGGTGCTCTGTCATTGAGTGGCTTCCAAAATTATGGCAGTGTCATAAACAGTTCTGGCCTACTGAAGTCCACCTGTTACAATCAGTCTTCTTCCCAGCACCAGACCAGTAGCTCCAAGTTCTCCACCAGCTTCCCACACAGCAGGTCAGACTCCTTGTCTGTTCCTGCCCTGAAGACTGCGCTTGCTATCAGACAACCACGTTTTCTCAACCACCATATTCTTGTCTCCATCTACATCTACTGCATGTCTTTTTCCGTCCTGCCTCTACCACTTCAGGTTTTTCCCGACCCTCTGGAAATCACCGAACATTTGTACTTGGATTACCAGCCTGTTAGCAAGACGAGGCTGTCATTTCTAGCTAGCTATGTCATAACCCCTGAGCCACAAAATCCCAGTACCATAAAATATGTGGCTCTTCTAAAAAGTGACTCTCCTCTAACTACAAAAAGGAGATGTACAGGACATTTATGATTGTAATTTGATGTAGCAGATGTAGCATCTGTGGAAACAACAATAGTACTAGGAACAGCTCAGGGCAAAAGCGATCTCATTGATCAATACACAATATTTCACATTAATTATTTTTGTTTCAGGTCACACATTACATTGTATATAATATTGTACTGCATAGCTGCATTTAACACAGAGATAGATATAAATGTGTATGAATGAGTAAGATTTGACAGACAAGGTATAAGATTGACAGACTAGAATTATCAAATCACATTTTCTATTGGAACTAAGTCATGACTTTCACTGGGCCACTCAGTCCCTTTTGTCTAACCAGATTTAGTTTCATTCCTAAGTACACTAGGTTATTCTCTTTTTTTACCTCAGTTTGTTTAACATGATGCAGCAACGAACATACTTTCAGCTAGGATGATGCTCAGTAGGTGATACGTTGTGTTGGGGTTGTGCTTTTGCTGTGCATTTATACCAAAAATTAAATTTTGCTTTGTCTGCCCATAAAATCTTCTGCAACAGTATCTCTCATACACGACTTAAGCTGTCTTTTACAGTAAAGGCATTTTTCTTGCAATCCACCCATAAATAATAATAATAATAGTAATAATAACTGCTTACACTTATATAATGTTTTTCTAGACACTCCACTCAAAGTGCTTTACAGGTAATGGAAACTCCCCTCCACTGCCACCAATGTGCAGCATCCACCTGGATGATGCGATGGCAGCAATAGTGCACCAGAACGCCAGAACCACACATCAGCTAAAGGCCATATAAAGATAAAGGCCATTTAAAAGCCACCCATAAAGTCATGATCTAATCCTCTCTATAAAGACCATTATATTCATTTTGAGACTTTGTTGGGAATTGGGAATACCCATGTCAGATTTTCCAGCATTGTACTTCAGATTTCAGAAATTCTGATTTGATAATATCATATTAGCAATCATCAGCAGTGTACAGTATTTGTAACATTAACCTATTTATTTTTTTGTCTTTCTCAGGCCTACCATGATCATCACTTCTGTGATTTTGGGGTTAGGAGCCTCTCCTTTGTGGTCTGCAAAGTGTACTTACCTCACTATAAGTGGCAACATGCAGGCTGAAAAGGACAACAAGAGAGGTCCCGATGTTGTCAACCAATACTTTGGGATCTTCTTTTTAATATTTCAGTCATCTGCAGTGTGGGGAAACCTCATGTCTTCTCTTATCTTTGGGAAAGATACAGAAATTGGTAAGAATAACAAAATACAATCAGAACCTCATTATCAGTTTTATTTCCTGTGCCATTGTTCTGACATTACAATAGGTTACAATTAGTAATTTCATATAATGTGACGTGGGACACTAACACTTCTTTAAGCTTGAGGGAGGAGTGCAGTCAGGAGCTGAGAAAGCTGTGCTGACTAATCTCAACCCATCTCTTAGTGACTCCCAGCCAGTTGTGTGCTGCCCTGCCACTAGGGGAAACCTACTCAGTTGGCTGGTGACATTGCCTAGACCTGACGCTAAACTTGCAATGCCTGCCTCATTGAGTATACTGTACTTCACTCTTTTCTGATGGCTTTCTTATTGATTTTGTAGATAGGGGACATAGACTTGAAGACGGTTATTAAAGGATTGATGATGCCTTGCCCCTCGTCGTCATGATGACTTTTAGTGCAAAGTGGCCTTAATACTGAAAGGGACTGTTGATCCAAATATATACACAGTACTCCTTGGAATTATATACTGTATCCATCACCATCCTTTATTATTTACCTCCCTGTACAAAACAAATATAAAGGTATTTTCAGGCAAGAACTCCACTAATTCCTTTACTTCTTTCATGATTGAGATCATATTTTTTGATTGTTTTACAGATTTGTGTAACAATAAAGAGCATAAAACCCATGTTCTAAGATTTTGTGTGTCTAATTCCTCATGACTCTGTCAAGTGTGTAACTAGAGAATGAAAAATGTTTTTCATTTAATAATACAGATTGAGAAAATGTCTCTGGCACACTATGTCCCAGATATATGGCATATGTGATATATGTGATTTTATAGGATCACCATAATGTGTTTTGTTGTGTATTTCTGCATAATAATTTATAAAGTCCTTATTAGACTGGGGAAGCCTTGTAATCAGGAGTTATGTTGTTCACATGTTCATTATCATTCCCTTAGGCTAGAACTTGCAGTCTTGTTTTGGTAACCAAAGACCATGACTTAAGTTACTGTTGTTCTACTCACAGTGATCAGTTGATGTGAACCTTGCCTTTGGCACTCCTCTTTTGGTAAACACTATAGTTTGCTGAAACATTGCACTCTTTTAAATTTAAACTGATTATTTTTAAAGTACTTTTGTGTAACAGACATAATGCACTCTAGAATGCCTTAGTATGGAATGCACTTTACAAATATTGCTTGGTAGTCTAATGTAATTACATTTTTCATTCTGAAGCTGAAATACCTAAAGAAGACCTGAAGTTCTGTGGAGCAGGCAGCTGTGAGTATAGTGGTGCAGCTGCAGGAAACTCAACAAGGCCTCCAGACACGTTAGTCTATACTCTTCTGGGCAGTTACATAGGTAAGTGTGTCCATACAGGTATGTACAGTTACTCAACACTGAGAGACCATGTGTTACATACTGTATAAGCAGCAATACTATGATACATAGTTTAACAAAAAGTATTCAATATTCTTTCCAAGTTAGATCAATGCTTGGGACTTGCAGAGTTACATTACATTACAATAATGCATTACAATACATTTTATTAATTTAATATGTACAAGATTTTTTACACAATTAGACTTTCTGATTATTTTTTACATTAGATCTTATTTATTTTTATACCTACTCTGTTTGCAACCATTAAATATTTCTTTCTTTAAGTTTAGGCTAAAAGTAAGGATTCCTGTATTGCAAGAGGGAAGAATAAGATAGGAAACACATGCCTGTGCAACCCCTCCAGAAGAACCATTACGAGTTCCTACTGGAGGTTTACTGCCTACTGAGGAAAAAAGTGTCCCTCATTTAGTTCACTGAATGTCTGAAGGCTCCTAGGAAGTCGCAGGAGTTGAGAGTTAGTTGCCAGCAAAGAAAACTATTCTATATTTCAAAACTGCATTACTAATATGGTTTTGCATATTATGATTATAATTTATATATACAGTAGTATTTAGTCATCAGCATTTATGTTATGATAAAAACAAAGAAATTAATGTAATATGTCATGTGTCATAAAGCATGACTGTTAAAGAACTTCATGTTGTTTTCCATAGAATGCACTTAAACTGTAGGTAGAAAAACAATGTAAATTAATTTCAGTATTTTCATGTTTCTCCTAATCCTTCTGTAAATCATTGAACAATCCACACAACCTAGATTAATTATAATCATTCATTTATAGGACATAGCTGGTCTTCCTGCACTGCAGCACTGTATTTATGCACCTGCTGTTTATATACAGCAGATGCCATTCCCTTGTGAATCAGGACACCAGGATGCCATGCAGTTGTGGTGGAGCCGGTGCCACATCTCATAAGCAGTTCATTTATCTACATGAAAGTATATCTTCTTATGATTAGCCAAATCCTCTTGATTCACTTCTAATGCAACCCATTTTTTCAAAGCTTTCTTAGATTTCAACACAAATCACATTACTTCAATCCCATATTCTGCAACTCAATCCTTTGTGACAGTATACTGTAGCTCAGAGGCTGTGTTTGTGACCTTTGCAGGTATTGGAGTCCTGGCTATGATCTTTGTGGCAGTTTTCCTGGACAACCTTGACAGAGATGCAGCTCGTGAACTCAGGGACAACAGAGATCCATTTTGGACAGTTTTCCTGGCCACTTTCAAACACCTCTCTGACAAACGACAGATTCTGCTCATCCCTCTGACAATGTACAGTGGTTTTGAGCAGGGCTTCCTTGCAGGAGATTACACCAAAGTAAGAGAACACCCTTGAACAGAAAAGTTACTCTTTTGAAAAATAGGGAATTAATCATAATTTATTTTTAAAATGTCATTGTGAGACAGAAGCAAAGCACCACCAGCCTCTGTTTCTTCTTTCTGTATTAATAGAGATTATATTCTTTGTGTGCTTTTTCAGAGCTCTGACATTAAATGAAACGTATATTTTCTTTAAATTAATTACTATTTAATCACATGGGGAAACAATATATCAACCTATTTATGACTAGATGGAAGTTACTTTCTTAAACTGACATTTATGTTTTTATTCACAACTATCTTTCCAGTACTATGTCACCTGTGCATTGGGAATACATTTTGTTGGTTTTGTGATGATCTGCTTTGGTGCAACAAATTCATTATGTTCCTATGCCTTTGGAAAGCTGGCACAGTATACAGGAAGAGCAGCCTTATTTGGCTTGGGTAAGAAGTGTTTTCTCCAGAACAAGATTACATGTGTTCTAAATATCATTTTCTTGTCAGAACACAAATAAGCGTTTGTTTTTGTGATGTGGTAAAAGTAAAGTGATCCATCAAAGCATAACTGAATCCAGGGTTAAGGTTTTACATGTAAAATAATTGACAGATTAAACTCTCAATCACTTTGGTGAATCATCTTTACAGTATACGTCCCTGAAACAAAGTTTATATTCGTCATAAACCTTTGTTTAGACTTTTTGTCTTTAACCCTGATTTTGATAAAACTACTACTGGTTGCAGGACAAGGCACAGTCTTCACAAGTTACCATTTACACCTTATTGCTTTAAGGACATATGTACTCAAGCAGCTGTATACTTTACGATGTTAATATATAAAAGATCACAAAACATTTTGTATCTCTGCTTTTCTCTTGCAGCAGCCGTGTCAAATTTTAGCTGTATAATAGCCCTGCTCTTGTGGAAACCTCATCCAGACCAGCTAGCAGTCTTCTTTGTATTTCCTGCTCTTTGGGGAATGGCAGATGCTGTGTGGCAGACACAAACCAATGGCAAGTTACCAGAGCTCCCAGATATACTTTGATTTTGCTTATGTGCAGCTGGCACAACAGTAACCAACATTTCATGCACAATTCTTGAAAATTAGGATTGTTAGGATTACTTTAACAACACTAATCTCTTATTCATTAAATAAATGAATTAGGATTTTTTCATTAAATTAGGATTACACATATTATGTAATTATGTACATAAGAATTATTTCAATTAGTTCATCATTGCTATAGTTACAATTTATAGATTCATTAAATTAAGTGTTATTTTTAGCATCTACAGTATCCTAACATGAATGAAATGTTATTTTCTAGCCCTGTATGGAATTCTCTTTCATGAACACAAGGAGGCAGCATTTGCCAATTATCGACTCTGGGAGTCGGTGGGATTTGTGATCGCTTTTGCTTACAGCAACTTAATCTGTTTGGACATTAAACTGTATGTCTTGATAGGAGTTCTGGTTGTTTCAGTGGCACTCTACGGGTTGGTGGAATACAAAGAGTACAAGAGAAGACAATGTGTCAAAGAAAGTGCCAGAGAAGCTGATCATTTCTGAAACTAAATTTTAGCAAACTATTTTGTGTTAACGTTACTTTTTGGTAATGGATTATTACTTTTATGGTAATGGATAATTACTTTTATTTTTATAAGCATGCAGTAACACACAGATGGTGAATTTAAAAAAAATCATAGTTGTTAGTCTTCTTTCTTTCAAAGAATTAAAAGTCTCCATCATCATACTCAGTTTTGTCATTGCTGCAGTATTGCAGACTTCAACTAATATATATTTTGTTGTACCTGAAGACTATTTTATGACATTTTCTTATCATTATGCTTTCTGTTATAAACTTCAAGTCAATTTCAAGAAATGCTTTTTGATGTCATATTGTTATATATTGAATCTAGATACAATGGGGAACACCTCGTTATTGTAAATATTTCCAGTTTCAAATCAAAGGGAAATTTGCTGAGATGTAGTTGTCCCAGATTCAGTGGTCAAAGCAATCATAAAGTTTACCTTGGTTTACAGTACCTTAGTTAATTAAGTTCTGATTAAACACTAGAACTACTATTGGGGTCAATTTGCCACAGAAATAATGTAAAATGTCAGTTTTTGTTTAAAATACATAAATGCCTGTTTGTGATTTTTCCTAAAATTGTGACTCTTAGATATACAATTTGAGCCTATATTTTCAAAACGGCATGCAAATACATTATTCTGTGGCAGCAAAACACTAGTGGCCAGTGCATGTATTTTATAACATCCTGAATCTGGCTGGGATAAATACAGGTTCTTTAAAGCAAGGACATTTCACAGTGCCATCAGAAACTGTGTGAAGGTCCAACTTCATTGAATATTTTAGTATTTTTTTTATTTTATATGAGATGTTTTCCTGTGTATTAAAAACATAAATAGCAAAGTTTGAATACAATCAATGTTTTGCATTATAAGTTTTAAATTTGTATTTTAGCAACATTGTAACTCTTTAAAATGATCATTTTGATCATTTCTTTAATGTACAGGCAGGTCTGTTTGGTGTTATTTGGTCTAAATAAATAAACAATAAAATATATCTGTTCCCCAATCTGAGTGATACATTGAAGTAGTTCAGCTGAGTCAGCATGTGTAGGCTGCAAAGGAACAAGTAATGAGTGTCACACCTGAACAAGGCTCCACAGCCGTAATGTTGTGTTTTCTTTCTTCTCTTTTCAGTATGAAATAAACCTATTACTTGTTCCTGCGTGATACATTGTTACATAAATATTGTTATCAGTAGTTCTACGGATGGTTAAAATTTCAGTAGTTTTAATATTAAGTATTAAATATTAAGTGTCCATAAGCATTGCAGGAAAAGGGGAGAAAACAAGGAAAAAAAGAAAGAGAGACAACTAGAGAGGACAGAGAAAGAGGTGACATAATGCTAGAGCTCCTTGTTTTAATCTGGAAAGACCAGATTGGTGCTATGTATTTGAAACTTGTTAAGAGAGCTTGTCATTCCATGGTTTGTAGGGTCTCTGACTTCCTCTGTAAAGACTCCCTCAATTAAAAACTGCATTTTTAGAACAGGAAAATGCAGTAGAGTTCCCATTCATTTTGCGGAATCCAGGTTTACAGAGAGAGGGATTTAACCAAGGGTTTTATTCTGTTTAGTTTAGAAGGCAGCTTATCTTTTCTTTTGGCCTTTGTAGGTGTTATTTAAGAGTCAAATTCTTGGGGGCAAATATGTGTAAATTTGTAAATACCCCAGCTTGTGTGTTCTAAGTGCATGTTGTATCTTGTTAAGTGTGCCATTGTCATTCTTAATAAACATTTGTTTAACCCAGTGTGCTTGAATTATTACTCTTTTCACATGAGTTGTGCTAAACAAAAAACTTGCATGCCTTTAACAATACCATTCACTTGGTTATGTTCTTGGCAAAATTTTTATAATTTAGAGGTTATGATTTATTTTACTTACTGATTAATCCACTCGGCCATTCATAATATTTTGCTATTTTCATAACCCCCTTTTTGTAACGATATTCACATCAAAATTATACAGGTAATTACATTATTTCTTACAGGAAAATTGTTCATTGCAGCAGTGATATCAATGTACAATATAGAAAATGTATTAATGCATGTTAAAAACGGTATTCAAACAGTAAAATTAATGAGCTTGTCCTTTCTGGGCTCTTAATAATAATAATTAATAATTGCTTACACTTATATAGTGCTTTTCTGGACACTCCACTCAAAACACTTTACAGGTAATGGGGACTCCCCTCCACCACCACCGATGTGCAGCATCCACTTGGATGATGCAACGGCAGCCATAGTGCACCAGAACACTCACCACACATCAGCTATCAGTGGAGAGGAGAGTAATGTAGCCAATTCATAGAGGGGGATTATTAGAAGGCATGGGAAATTTGGCCAGGATGCCAGGGTTACACCCCTACTCTTTTCAAGAAACACCCTGGGATTGTTAATGACCACAGAGAGTCAGGACCTCGGTTTTACATCTCTTTCGAAGGACGACACCTGTTTACAGTATAATGTCCCCATCACTATACTGGGGCATTAGGACCCACATGGACCACAGGGTGATCGCCCCCTGCTGGCCCCACTAACACCTCTTCCAGCAGCAACCCTAGTTTTTCCCAGGAGGTCTCCCATCCAGGTACTGACCAGGCTCACACCTGCTTAGCTTCAGTAGGTTACCAGTTGTGAGTTGCAGGGTGATATGACTGCTGGTTAACAACAGCTATACAGTTTGTGTTTTTGTTATTGATATTGTGAAATGTAAACTTTGACTGCAATTAGAAACCTGGTGTCAGGGAACCGGCAGGTAGTTTTCCAAGGATCCTGTGCATAGCTGTGAATTCTGCGGGATGCAAAGGCAAACAATCCAAAATCGTAATCCAGAAGCAAGGTCGATAGGAGAAGCTAGAGATCAGATAACCAGAAAGAGCCAAGACAAACCGAGAAGACAATCCAAAAGGTGAAATCCAGGAGACGAGATCAAAAAGGGAAAAGTTAAGTCCAAAAAACTGGGAAATCCAATGAGACAAAAACACGCACTAGAGAACTCTAAAGGAGGCTTCTCAATAGTGAGCATGGTTTGGTGCGTGAGGGAACTTTAGTGAAGGGAGAGGGACGTGGTTGGATAAGTGGTCCAGGAGTGATAATCTGGAATCTGGTGCCTTAGAATTATTTGTGAATAAGTTTGTGGCTCATACACAACTAAACTTACTGCCTCAATATTTAGTGCCTGTCAAATGTATAGTGCTTTAGGTCCCTGTGAAATTGAGTGGATTTTGACATTACTCTGCTTACATGTAAGAGACCGTATGGTCTAACTCCAGGTTACCTGAAGGTTGCATGAGTACAGAAATCCAACACTTCATCTGACATCTGATTCAGGTCTTCTTACACTTCTGAGGACGAGGGTACTCAAATGGACAGCAGTGCAGCTCCAAAACTGTGGAACTCATTGCCCAAATCCATTAATGTCACTGCAACTGTTAATATACAGTAATTACAAACATTTTAAATTTTTCTTTTTATTCTAGTTCTTGATGGATAAGCTTTAATACAACAGGCACGGCTGTAATGATTGTCACTAGAATTGGTGCTCAATCACTATTATTAAGACCCATTGTAATATTTTATGTTGCCAAAAAGTATTTTTTACCCAAGAAAAATAAATAATTTATGCATCAGAAATTGTATAATTAGTTCAGATTCTTTGGTGTTTTGTAATCGTGAAATGTTTTTCTGGGCTTATGTGCAATTGTGACATTTTTTATACCATTTACATGTATGGAAAACATGTTGTTTTGTTACTAAAGTCGGTTTTAAAAAATAAAGATAATTTTATATTAAAATGTGTGATCTCTTTTAATCTTCTCAGCTTCTGACAGATATAATAATAATCATATAAAAATTCATTTGATAAGTTATAATTTAATGTTATACATTGTGGAGCTTAAGTGAAACCTTCCATATTTTTGTAAACAATTATTAAAAATAGCTTCTTGAATGGTGAATATTTATACCCTGACATGAGTAATCTATGTGAGAGATAATTCAAAGCAATTTGAGGAATGCATTTTTTGTGTCTACAGGTGCATGCAAAATATTCCTTTATCTTATTCATATTCATGTATTGATCGATGGATACATAATATACAGTACCTACTGTGATTACATCTCAAAAACAGAACTTGAAGACAATTAAGTTTATAAAAGGAAAGAAAAAACATGAAGGGAATGAAACATACAGTATAGAACATACTGTACTGTATAGAATAGTCTCTGAGTGTGGAGTAAAACATTTTAAAATTGTTAAAAAATGATTCCCCCCAGGATAACATACACAAATTTAGATTAAGTTTTCTAGTCAGGTGAGTTTTAATAGAGACTTTTCAGAATTAACAGAAGACAGCACTGATAAAAAAGGGATACAGCAGCCTGTGTGTACAGTACATCTAAATGGTAAACATGGTACCACACTTACGAAAGCTAAAGTATGGACAGTATATCTTCTTATGGCTTTGGAAATGCCATTAATCAATTTATATTTTATCACAATGTCTTCTTTTTTCTCTGTTGTGTGCCTGTCCTATCTTGTTATGCTATACTATTCCTCCATTATACCCATTGTAGTTTAAATGTTGTTTGTTTTTCAGCATACTGTATATTTGTTTTAATATGATAGATACTTTATTCACTTCTGAAAGCTTTTAAGCTTTTCTTTTTGTTTTCTTGTTGTATGTGTTGTTTTCTCAGCTGACAAGACTTCTAGGTATCTCTGGAACTGGCTCACACATCTTTATTGATGATGTAAGTAATTCAGACAGTATCATGAGACAAAGTTTGCATGCTAATTGAATTGTGCTTTTCCAAATATTAAGTCAATGGTCCCGAACATTCATCCAATGCAACCAAGAAGTTAATCAGGAGTAAATAGTGGAATATCTTAGGTTGGCCAAGTCAGTCCCCAGACTGAAATCTAACTGAATACTTACATTACTTACAGAAGAAAAACTTGGAGCCAGTACACAATGAGAATAGAAAAACAAATACATTATTGGCTACAATCAAGCAACTGAAATGATTAAACAATGAGTTTTGTGAGACAGTCCATGTGCAGTTATTGACACAAAGGGATATGTAACTAAATACTACCTTTTAAATTTAGAATTTCACTCTGAAAGTGAATGTTTCCACATTCTTATGATGACTTTAAATTAGTTGTTGACCGCAAAGTATATTTTTGTTTGAATATAACCAAATGGAACTGTTTTGATGTGCTCCTTCTAACTATACAAAGTTTATAAACTGTACTTTATAAAAAGTGACAATGTTTGAACCTTTTCTAAGAAAACTCTACTTGCTGTCGTTATTGTTGTAAAAAATGTTGCAGTACTGTTTTGATACCACTTAATAGGAATTATTAATATGGAATCATTTAACTAAAGAAATTTTGTTAGCTAGAAATATAACTTGTGGTCATTTTGGAAACAATTTGATATGTTCATTTTAACTACATTTTGTTGTTGTTATACAATAGTTTTGTAAGTTTTTGTCTGTTTTTTGTTGTGGGCCTTTTGTATCCAGTCTCTCTTTTCAGCAATTATTTATTATTTATTAAATAATATTATTATTATTTACAACAAGTGTTTGTGGACAATGGATCGAGAATCGTTGACTTAAACATTTGAATCTAAATCGTCTATCTTGGTTGCCTCCCAGAGCAGAGCCAGTGAATGTGACGGACGGGGAGGCAAGGTAGACGGGGAGGACTTCAAGCGAGAGTGAAGCGCTGCAGCTACCTGACCCCACTCCCGAGGGTCATCTTAGCCACTGTGCAATCCGTGGAGAACAAGATGGACGAACTAAGGGGAAGGTTAAGCCATCAGCAGGACATCAAGGATTTGTTTTATTCTCTCTCACACCAAGACCTATTGTAGCTGACCTCCAATACACCAGACTCAGCTGTATTCTCCACCTATCACATGGATCAATCTGGTTAAGAAAAAAGGCGGTGGTGTATGTCTAGTGATTAACAACTCTTGCTGTTCAGATGTGAAAATTCTAAAGCAATTTTGCTCTCTGGACCTGGAACATCTGACTATAAAATGTCATCCTTTCTACTATATCTACTTTAAGAATTTTCATCTGTCGTTATGTCTGCAGTGTATATTCCACCTCGGGATGATGTGAAAGAAGCACTCAGGGAATTATATGCCACCATTAACAACTATAAAACTGCTCACTCTGATCTGTTGTTGCGGGGGACTTTAATCAGGCCAACCTGCGGAATGTTCTTCTGAAATATTACCAGCATCAACAAGGGGTGCGAAATCTTTTGAGAATGTCAACAAGAACGGTACAACACTGGTTGGAGAAGACAGATGAAGTACTGCAGGACTGCTTTGAATATGTGGACTTGGCTGTGTTTATCAGTTCATCAGCAAATGTGTACTA